TATATATATATATATATATATATATATATATATAAAGATAACTTACCCCACTCACAGTCTCACCAAAGTCTGAAGAATGGCAACAGGTGGAAGACAATAACCCGACAAGGAAGAAACAGCAATCTGATGCAGATAGTGAGAAATAAATGTATGTGGCATGGTCCACATGCCTGATTGAAGAACTTCCTCCAATGGACGATGGAGATCAGATACCAAGGAAAAGGTAATGTGCCTAATCTGGTGAAAAGACACCTGAAACAAATTATGGGAAGAAGAAGACAAAGAAGTATAATCCAATCCAACTAAAAGCTGAAGGGTGGAAGGAGAAAGGACACAAACAGAGGATAGCTGCCAAAGAATCAAGAGGCAGGAACAGGCACCATGGAAGGAAGCCATACAGGCAATATAACAACAAAGAGCATGTACGGGAATATAGGTGGAAAATGGAATGAGGGGAAATCAGCAAGGAGAAGCAATAACCCTCATGAGTCACCAAAGTTTTGGGAAGGAAAGACCAATCCAGATAAAGGAGAACATATGTAGAATGATGTAGGATATGTGAAACATCAATGGCAAATAAATCTGACCAATAAGTAACAAACTGAACATGACGACAGATGTTCAAATTGAGGTAAAGTGAGTTTGTGAAGAATCACATTAACATCCCAATTCAGAAAAACTACACACTGAGGGGGAGGATGATTCTGGAAAGAATGCAACAAAATTGAGAGGGTAGAAGAGGTAAAAACAAATGTGTGGGATAAGGCAGCCCAATAACCCATGATCAAGAAGACAGATGACCCATGATCAAACAGCCAAGTGAAGAAATCTATAAGAAGAGGAATAGTGGAGCAAGCAGGTGAAAACCCCTGACCCAAAGACGAACAACAGAAAATGCTCCACTTATGTTGATAAACATCTATAGAGGAAGGATAAGTGGAATGAGGCAAAAATGAAGCAACTTGCCAGAACAATCCAGATTTCCTCCCAAGGACTTGATAAAAACCAGGAGTGAAGATGGAGGGTATGAAGGGCTGGATGAAATTCCAGTGGCCAAGGTTGACATAGAAGGGAAGATTGGAGCTGGAGCAACCATGGAAATCACAGTTGTGCCAGCCAGTAAGGAGCAATCAGAAGAACTTGACACAGAGTGGCATGGATGATCAAAATCACCCTGGGAAGAAGATGGATGGGAGGATAGATATAAAGGTATTTGTTGGTCCAATCCTGGCTGAACACATCAGCAGCCAGTGCATGTGAATGAGGAACCAGAGACTAAAACAGAGGTAACTTGGTATTTAGGAATGTGGCAAACACATCCAGGTGAGGAGTACTCCAACAAAGGCATAGCCACTGGAAAATGAAAGGAACAAAAGATTACTCCATCAAATAAACTTTGTCTGGACAGGAAAGACAATTAGTGAAAAGGTTTACTGCACCTGGAACATGACACACAAGGAGACAAATACTGACCACTTGGCCCAAAAAAGGAGATCCAGATGCAGGGGAAAAGTTAATGTGCCTAATCTGGTGAGAAGACACTTGGAACAAAGTATGGAAGAAGGTGACAAGGAAGTATAATCCAATTGAATTAAAAGCTGAAGCCAATTGGTAAGAATGGAAGGAGAAAGGCCATGAACAAGGCAGCTGTTGACGATGTGTCCATCTGCATCAAATAATAAAAGAAGAGGAGAAATCTTCAGAGGTAGAAACTGCGAAGAAGTGGAACAGGAAATAGTAACAAGGGATTGTATAGGCTCTGAATGAGACAAACAATTGAAGGAATGAGGATGGGTGCTGCCTTGGTGATTGATATAAGCTACCACCATAGAATTGTCAGAATGGATCATGACCAGATGATTCCTGGCAAGCTGAATGATGTACAGCTAGAAGCTCCAGGATGTTGATGTGGTAAGACCACTCAGCTGAAGAGACCACAGACCTGAAGCTTCCTACTGATTGACCCATGCCCCCCCCCCCCAGCCATGGAGGGAAGCATCCATGAAGATATGCAAATTCAGATGAGGGAGAGGATGTGGAAAACTGCCAATGTGTGTGTGTGTGTGTCATGTCCAACCACCAAAAGCACTATCAGTATTCAAGAAACTATTCATTTTATGCTTGTAACCATCATGAATAAGACATAACAAATATACATTGATCAATAAATTAGTTAGTAATGTCTTACCAGAGTGAATTAAGTATATCAGCAAGTTATGAAATTCTAGACTAACTACATTAATAATTCATTCAAGAATAATGTTTTATTATACAAGAAATTTCATAGAAACATACACTATCATTAAAAAGAACTTATTTAGTGATAAGTTAAGGTATAATGAATAAAAGATGTATTGGTATGAAACCATTTAATAAGACACTATTCTAGAACATATACATAATTAAAGATGGCCATATGAACATAATTTGAGAAATTTCATGTATGTGATCTTTTATGACTATGATGTTTATTTTCCACATATGTGGAAGATATCTCCTGATATCTTACACAATTGCAACTCTAGTTCTATATCTACGTATCTATCTATCTATATATGTGTGTTTGTGTGTGTTAAGAAGAAAAAAAAGAGTTGCTGTTGTAAGCTGTATATTCAGACGAGAACATATGTAAGGTGAGAAAAGTCCCCATGATTAATCCAGGGAGGTCGAGAAACCGAAACATTAAATATCTAAGACCGGATGCCCATTGACGTATTCCTTGAGAACCATGAAAAGAATGGAATAAAATCCTAGAAAAAAATGAGAAACTGTCCAATTGCATCTTTAGTCATTAGGTCCAACACTGTCATGGATCAACATTGGTAAGAAACAAGATCCCTTGGAGGAGGGAAAGTAACAAGAATAGAAGATAATGGAGAAAAAGAGGAAAAGAAAGGGTAAGTCTCTCTAACATCACTCTCAGTACCCAAAAATTAGCCACAAACAAAGGGCAAAGGTCCATAAACTGAACTAAACAGGCCCTACTTCTCCTGAGCCTACAGGTTAGTCACTGCCAAAATTGACCTCACTGAAGTCTAAAAGCAGTGACGGGACAGATGGGAACGGGAAGTGGTGACAGGGAGAGAAGAGGAAGCAAGAAGACAGGAGATAGAGAAGGAGCTCAGGAGAGATGGTAAGCCAGTGAGGATAAAGAATAACATTGGCATGAGGCTCCTAACATATAACTCCAGAGAAACAAACACTCAAGTAAAATCACACATGCGTATGAAAGGAGCCAGATAAAGGCATACAAAATGTAGCACTTGAGTAACAAGGGCACCATGCCACAAAGAACTCTAGCAACAGGTCAACCAAATATGATATGATAAGGCTGAGGAAGATAAACATGCCACTGTACAGAAGAGGAGCAAATATGCAACCACCAAAAACCCCTCAGAGGGATGATGGATTACCATGAAAAGGTTAATGGAGGAAAAATTATGGAAAATGATAGAGAGTGTATTACAAAAATGGGAAAACTTAAGCTTAAAAAAATGAACAAAAGACAGAGGATCTAACCCACAAGTCTAATGAAAAGACCCAAGAAAGGCAATACAGCACAAAGTCATGCCTAGTCATATGAAGTAACAAAGGAAGGAGGATGAGGCATGCTTGCACCAAAGTAGTAGTAAAAGTAATTGAATATGGATGTGCATATATGGATAGGAAGTAAAAAACATAAAAGAAAGAAGCAGGGGTAAAAGTAATTGAATATGGATGTGCATATATGGATAGGAAGTAAAAAACATAAAAGAAAGAAGCAGGGAACAAATTACAAAGATAAGGAAAGAAACATAACTGAGAAACTCAATCCGAAAATTACAAAAAAGGCTTAAATAAATGCAAGATAGCAAGGGTATAAGATTAGGCAAAGGTAGAAGTTGGGAAAAAAAATGGCAAAATCCCTTTAATCATAAATTAGAAAAATATGCAAAGATATGTCAGCTACAAAAGATGGCCCAGGCCACATGAAAGACTACCACCTGCTACTCAAAAGCCATTATCTCGACCAACAGACAAAGACAATTCTGATGTCAATATAGATGTTAGACTGGTGTGAACAATGTCTTATTTTGTTTATATAATCTTAATAAGTTGAAAATTCAAAATAACACTATTACTTTATACACTTCTCCTGGTACATAAATTATTTGTTATTTTTGACAAAGAATTCTTTATCAGGCGGATGAAATAAAATAAAATTAATCACAGTTCAAATGTTCAAATACCATCAAAAGTTTTTGAATAAATTGGAGTTATCTGAAGAGAAGTAGTTTTGATTCTATATTTTCTACAAATATTAATATAGGTAAAAACCTTAGTACTTTTATCCTACAGCCTTTATTCATACTTCAAACTCTAACATAAGTTTTGACCTCAGTTGATGGACATCATTTGCACTCAAGATGTGCATCCTCTTTTTTTTGGGGGGGGGAGGAGGAGGGGAAGAGTTGTAAGGCCTTTCCGTAAACAGAACAGGGTCAGATGATTTTGAAAAATTCAACATTTTGCTACGACTTGATGCATCCTTTGTACAGAAAAAACTACTGCACAATATTTATATTTGACTGCATCTGACATATAGCATTTATATCCAACAAAACTATAAACAAGGCCTTAAAAAGCTGTGAACACAAAATGGTGAAACTTTCTTCCTAACAGTAAAATATTTATGATTATTAAAAATATAAATAGTAATAAGTTCAAGTCACACAATATATTAACTCACCAAGAAAGAACTCAGTGCCATGAGAGGAGGGGAAAAAAAAAGATGATTCACTTTCTTCTTTTAATTACACATCATTGTATCATGGTTTTCTTTCCTGTAAAATAAATATATAAAAACACATTAACATCATCAAAAGTTCAGGATTTCATTGGAATGAAAATTCATTCTTACACAAAGATTTGGAAGCAAAACCTATACACGTTCTGTATGACTGCTCTAAGAACTGAGTTACCAGTATTTAAGCCAAGCCAAAGTCCAGGTATCCAAAATCCTACAGTTCTTCCTTCCATCATGATGTAACTGTTAAGCCAAATGCATCAATCCCATTTGTACACTTTGTAACCAAATTGTGTCATACTAGAAATAGCAACTCCTCATTAGTGTAGATTGATGTTTATGTTAACCTAAATGAAGGATTCAAATTCATCTCCTCTAACCATGAAAAACAAGAGAATATTCTACACGTACCTAACAGGGGCACCGCACTACAAATTGAGTTAGAGAAGTCAAACCACAGTCCAACCATTAACCACCTTAATTGATTCACTGCACAGTGATCCATCCTAAATATATAAGCTCAAGTATCTTAAGCAAAACAGCTGACTGTCTATATTAGTAAGTTTTAATTTTTTCAAAGTCAGAAACACAACTAATAATTATGAAGCACATCTAAGAAGTATTCAACAAAAACGATCTAACATAGATAAATTAAATGGATAGAAACTTATTACTGAATAGATAAAAGAAATTACTTAAAACATTAACTGTTTTTATGTTTTTCAGTAATAAAAATGATCAAATTGTAACTTATTTTCAATCGATGTGTTTATAAGAAATATATTTATGTAATACAAACTCACAAAATGTCTTACCTTTACTATAATATATATATACACACACACACACACAAACACACACGCATGATTATTTTTTTGGTTACACCAAGGTTTTGAATCTTCTGTTTTCTGTTCTTCTCCCTTCAATACTTTCACCATTATTTACAATATGCCTCTTAAAATCTTGAACTCTTGTATGAACCACACTTTTTTACGAGATTGTTCATCACATATTTTTACTTCTCCACCTAAGGTGTGTTTATTCCAGTTCCAAGGCCATATTGTATTATTAATATTTTAATAAAGTCTCTCAGAGAAAGTAAGTAAGAGTAGACAGAAGTAAGTATCTCTTTAAAGTTAATACTTAAGAAATGAAAAAAACTGACATACATATTACCTACTATAACATAAGCTAAAGTCCCTCCAATACTATGGAGGCAGGACAAAATAAACAACGTTTGCCCACCATGAGAAAGATAATCATAAGTCACATAGCCTAACAAGTAGAGAATTCAAATGTTCACTGGCAACATTACCAACCATCTCTATCAAATCACTAACCTAGGATAAGTGGATATATCAAGGGCAGTTTAACACTACTTACTGTTGGTTCCCATACAACATACCATGTAGCACATGGACTTGACAAAAAACAATAGTTATTTTATTTTATCTTCCATAAAAAAAGAACTTAAGAATACAATTTAAATGAAAAAGGCTTTGCCAACATCTCATTCTGGATAAAGTGTTAATAGGTAATGCTCTACTGAGATGACAGTTAGCTTTTGCTACCATGTTTATACACAGCTCCCCAGTTCAGGTTTATTTTCAGATATACATTAAAAACGTAAAAAAACAGACAGATGTTTTAATATTTTGTAACTTATTTGAACATTTAAAATGGTAAACTTTGGGAAGTTTGAAAAGTAATATAATTTCTTAATCATGGTACAAAATTCCAGCTGACATATATCACACTTTTAAAAGCTAAAATAAAGGGCATATAGTGTGCATCACATATATTTCCATGGTAGTACGAGTTATGCCTGCCTCATCAGATTGCCTCAGGTAGCAGTGTATCTGTACTTCAAAGAACCAAACACACACAATATAATGTTGAACAGTACCTCCAAACCATAATTTTAAAACTACATGCATATTCAAGATTTACACTAAACCTGTAGAAAAAGATACAAGAAACTAAACACTTCCCAAAAGGCTACTGTCAACACAAGCAGGTTTCTTTTAAATATAGCAAATAAATAAATATGTGAAATGCTAAACAGTACCACATTATCAATGACAGATGAATTAACATAATAACCTGAAGAGGAAATGTGTTCTAGTCAAAGCAAAGCAGCAAGAAATGATTCAAATGAAGTCTGATGGGATAAAATTTGGGATTATTTCTACATGCAAAGAAAGATAGTTGTTTCAGCCATGATGTGAAATGAATAACCTGTGGTGATAGTGATGTAAGAGTTTTTTTACAAGTAATGTAGCACTGAAAATCCTGTTAAAAAAACTGGGGTTAATCATCACCTACTCTATTCTCTCAAAGACATATCAAACACAAAGTTTGACTGACCTCAGTACATTTTCTACAGACATGAGTAAAAAGCCCTTCAAAATAAGACTAAAAAATTACATTCTCTTAAAAAAAAGAAGCAAAAGAGGGGTGTAAGATTGTTAAGGGAATTGATAGTATTGATAAATTATCTTTTTTCATACTTAATGGTGGGATAATGGGACACAAATAGAACTTTTGGTAGTGTAAGAGTCGTTTTCAGGTAAGAAAGTTTTATTTTTACAACAGGGTAGTTGGCTTATGGAAAGGATTGCCTTTAGGTGTGGTAAAAGCAGTAAATTTAAGGGAAAGCTTGTTAAATACTTTAATGATAAATGCTAGCTTTAAGTTCATATAGTTTAATGGATGAGATAGCTTAGATGGACCAGCAGGTCTCTTGTTGTCCTTAAATGTTATGTTATTAGTGACATATCCTGTGAAGGGTTAATTAATATTTAAATAATAAGAGCTGGCTTTGAGGGTATGTTATTTTTGTTTGTTTTTTTATCTTTAGTTTAGTGGATGGGACAGCCTCAATATAACACAAGCCCATTGATATCTTTTAAGTGTTGTTATATGTTATATTAAAAGCCATCAAAGCTTCAAAAATGCTTTGGGTGATAAGGAAAACACTGAAGGAGGCTAGTTTTCTTAGATATAAAATTGGTCTGAATGAAGTCCTTTGAAGGAGAAAAGGTGGCTTTTACATGGTTAAGAACCACTTTATTACCTTGTCACACACACACAAACTTATACATCTTCAGAAATGTACATATAATATCACTCAAAAACTGTTGTGGACCTACTGAAGTCCAATAATGAAGACTTAATCTTCCTAGGTTGTCTCTAAAAAATTATATCATTTAAAAAAAAACAAAAATGGATATTTCTCTAGTAGATAACCTAAAAAAAGAAACAGTGATCAACATGCTCAGTAAAATACTATTACTATAGTGTCACACTTCTTGAAGTTTTTTTTTGGAAAATTGCACAAACTAACAGAAAAGGATAAATAGAAAAAAAAAAAACTTTCCAATTGTAAAATAAGATAGCTACATAAATAAGTTTAGCTTCTAAATTAGATTAAAATATTGAAAGTGCTAGTCTTTACAAAGTCTGACAGAGATTTTGAAAGTCAGTGAATTCACACTCTTCCACAAAGTTCTCTGTTGAAATGATAAATCAACAAGACTGATGACTGACAAGTGGCAAGTTCACTAGGAAGTGAAAATATAATGTGCCCAAATAAAACTCAGGATATGAAAAGTAATGTGTGATATTTGTTGACTAAGATAGGTCAATATTGTCAGTGCACCATAAAAATAGCTTTCTAGATTTAGAAAAATAAATGAGTGAGTTACAGATACATGTTTGGTTTGTCCAGGTAAAACTGAATTAACTTTAGAGCAATGAGAATAACTGAGAATGAATGAAATACTGAGACTGGACATAAAGTAAAATATAAAATGAATAATGTATATTAATATCACACTTAAGTAAACAGTGTATGCATTTGCTTTCTTGGAGTGACACGTCACTTTCATTAGATTCTCTCTCTAAACCACTTGCCCTTATAGACTGTTCACTAGAATGACTAAATCCAACATTCACTACTTTGCAAGAAATGATGCATTTCCTCATAATGACTAACACTGCTCATGTGACTGGTTATTCTCATTCAAACATTGGTGAGGCTATAAACTGGAACATTACTTGTTCTACCATGAAGGACAATGTTGTTGACATTCTTGTACAATGCACAGTATTGCAACAATACCCCCCACAGCTAGCAGTGTACCAAGAACTAAAAAGCCAAACACACAATATAAAAAAATTTAACATTACCTCTAAACTGTAATTTTTGAATAACAAATGAACAGAGGCAGCTAAAATGAGATGAACTTAACAGATTTCTCAAATACGTGTTATGTGAAACTTGCATGTATACGGAACAAATGCTATAATAATAAAGACAGAAATGCAATGTATATTAAGAAATCACATTACTTTCTCTGTTCTATAACCTAAACCCAATAAAATCTAAACTTGAGATCCCATTGAGGAATGCTTTAACTTTTTCTCACCCCTTAAAAAATGCTACACACACACTCGCACACATCACAACCCTTACACAAAGAAAATGCAAAACAAAAGTTATATCTCACAAAAATATTCTTTAATTACATTAATAGGAAAATGAGCCCTTTAACACAAATGCAAGCACATGTTAACAGAAAACCTTTAACAATGAAAATCAATTTAATTGCCATAGGAACCATGAATCATACATCAAACAATACCCTTTAACAATGAAGAAAATAACAAATAAACCCTCCAACTTAGATACACTAATGAAAATGATAATACTTTGACATGATACTGCATAATCAAAACACTTATTAAAATATAAATTAAATTATAAGAATACAAAAGTGATTATGTATATAATCTTTACACAATGTCATACATAATAATCATTAATTATAAACCACAAGAACACCCTTCCACATTGAAGAAAATAAAACTTACTAAAATTAACAATACCACACAAACCCTTATAAACTATACACATTTGTACATAGGATCCCAGCTTATATATATTTATATAAAACAAAATATCTCAAGTAATTACAAGATACAAACTAAAAGTAATGAAATAACCCTTTTAACATTAACTACAAAATCTTCACT